CAACGCACCCACACCCACACTGATATTCAGATCCACACCCATCCACACCCACATCCACATCTACACCCCGATCATCAATCTCAATCTTCTCTGGCCAAGTAACCAGACTAAATTTTTTACCAGAGGATTAGGCAAGACAAATATTTTAAAACTCAACCTGACCTCGGTGCCTAACCAGATGCCTGCCAGATGCTTGGACAAGTTGCGAGCTCTAATATGGTGTGGGTGTGACTATCCGTCCAATTCATCAATATCAAGAATCAGATAGACACCCACACTCAGTGATCATATCGTAGTATATATTAGAATCTCGAATGACTACAAGGAAAGAGAAAACTATCCTGTGCACAAGCCGCACCTCGTACTTAAAACATTTCGGCAAGGTTCTCTTTATTTTTTACTAAAAGAAAAGCAACCTGAGTGAATCACAAGCATTACCTGAAAAGAAAAAAGAACAAGATAGGTTGACGACTATTTCTCTCTCCGTCGTTTTCGCCAAAAGCCAATGTGCATCAAAATTATTTGTTTGAATTACAGCTTTCTCTTACGCAGCTCAGTGCGGCAAGCGATCGACACATGAAGCACTTGAGTGACTACCAACAGTGTTTTTCTTCAATTTCAAAACACACACGCACACATACGCACCAGGTATGCTCATTGCGGCGGTAACTGGTGTCGGTATGTATTGGTGAAAAAAGTGTTGCTATTGTTCCTGTCCTAGCCCACATCTGTTAACCACACTCACACCCTATTCTGAGTAATGTGTTGATATGTTCCGTCAAGAAATATAGTCACATCTGCCACACACAGCAGAACTGGACAGATTGCATTTACATATTCTCGGTGGAATGGGCGTGGGTATGGATAGGGGTGTGCATGAGAATATGGATGAGGGTGTAGATGTGGATGTGGGTGTGGATGGGCGTGGATGGGTGTGAATCTGAATATCAGTGTGGGTGTGGGTGCATTGCTCGTTTCGTACCCACACCCACACCCACCTCCACTAGAGACCTGCGGAGTCAACTTTTTTCATTCCGAAACCCTACTCCGACTCCGAAAAATTTCTTTTTTCCGACTCCGACTCCGACTCCGACTCCGATTCCAACTCCGATTCCGAAAATTTTTATTTTTTGACTCCGATTCCGACTCCGAAAAACTCCGAAATTTTTTAACACTGTCATTTAAAAATAAAATGTTCTCAGAAGCCAAAGGACTCTTTAATGACATAACATGCGCACGTTTTACACTAAAAATCTCAAGTTTCTCTTTAAAAAAAACCAGTTTATGGATGCTATCATCTTCAAAGTCGCTTTTTCCCCTCAAAAAAACTTTTTTGAATGTGTAAAAAATACACAGTTTTGCTCCTAAAAACGCGTTTCTGTTACTGATTTTACCGGCCTTGGAGGTTCTTCGTCTAAACAACGAAGAACTAAAAATGAAGATAGTCGTAGTACTTTGAATGATATTAATATATCTTTTTTGACTAATGTTGTTATGTTTTCATCTCACTTGATCATTCGAGTGTTATAACTGGAAAGTGATACTCTCATCTTTCTGTTCTACAAGTGATATAAATCTATGTGACAGATATTACGCTTTATTTTTCTATTTACTAATGTTAAAAATTAAGTTTTGGTAAATCGAAAAAAAAATATCGGAGTCGAACTTGTAACTGACTCCAACTACGAACCCGAAAATTTTTTTTCAGCAAACCCGACTCCGACGTAGTCGGAGTCGGAGTCTGAATCGGGTTTCGGAGTCCTCCGCAGGTCTCTAACCCTACACCCCACACCCACACCGACACCCACCTACACCCATCCACACACTCGTTGCATCTGATTCAGTCTATTACCCAGATATATTCAAAGTCCGAGTGAAGTACATAGATTTAGGTATTGCAGGATGTATGAGGCATAATGTGCTCCATTTTCTATTGTAAGCAAAGAAACTTAAGATATTTGGTCTTTTTCTAATACAATAGTAGTCGAATTCTTGGCAAATCTCTACTGATTCTTTTTGATAGCGTGAAAGTGCACCAAAACCAAACACTAAGTTTGACAGATTTTCACTGAATTGGGATTTCAATTTGATTCAATGATATACTTTGACATACCTTCGACAAAGTTCGTAGACTTTCAGCATCGAAAACACGTGAACTTGATCAGACTTGTACGACACTTTTGTTTAGTTTTTTTGTTGTGTCCGATTCTACTACTACATATCATGGACCATCAAAAAAATGCAAGTATTCGACAAAGTCTGATCAAAAAATACAAAAAACGATGGAATCTTCATAAAACCTTAGCACTCTTTTAGAGACTAGACAAAATCTAGTGGCAGTATCAAATAGAGAAAAAGACCTGAATAAACTTGGTATGAAGATTTGGTTGGGCCCACCAATTTTCGTACTGAAAATCTAGAATCTTTGTCGGAAATACAATGCGCCATCAACTAAAACCCAAGAGTTAGGTTTGGTTTTGTTGTATTACTAAAATGAGCAGGATTGTCTTCTATAGGCAGACGACAATATGCGAGACTCGATGACATGCATCTGATTTTCGTATATCGATCTTAGTAATTCGCTTGCCTCACTTTAAAAAGTATTCATGTTTGGTTAACAGATATCAGTATTGTGCATTTCCGCTATACCATCGCTAGTTAAAAGTGTCGACGCGGTCTTAGATCTTGTGGTCATGTACACTAACATGACCTTGATGCGACATTCTTTGAAACTATGCAGTTGTACAAAGCCATTAAGAAATCATCCAGTTTTGCTATTAATTTCTGGATTCAAATGGAATGCAATCAAATGACGCTCATAAACATGAGTCTTGTGACCTTTCGATGCATGTTAAGATTTCTCAAGGCGAAGAATCCCTCAAGAATCTTCAGGCATACATGTATACGGTCTCAAAAGACAGTAATGAATATTTCATAATGATATTAGGTGCGAATACTGCTACGTTTTAAAATTTTTCTTTTTCCTAGGGTGTGGGTATGCACGTTGGTATGAGCGTGTGCCCCTCGGTGTGAGGTGGGGCGTGGGTACCCGTGCGTGTGTGAGTGTTTGTGGGTGCGGGCGTGAATGAGCAAGTGTCATTGAGTGGAGACCCACCCATTCCAACCCAACAATTCCCACTTAAACCCCGAACCCACAACCATATGCACATCCGTACCCCCGTCTCCCAATACACGCACACGCATACCCATGCCCATATTCACACCCACACCCACACCCAAATCTGAATTGGACGAGTGCTTCAATTTCCCGATGGCCTCATAGGTGCTTTGTTGAGAGGCAATCAGAATTCGATCGCTTTTTGCATTTCTTCTGTGTCTTCTAGGATGTAGTTTATAGATGAACAACTTAAAAAGGGAACTTAATCTATACAAATAGTGCTCTCTCAGTCTGCCAGTTTAACAGAATGCAACTGCTTTCACTGTTTTTCAGCCATAAAATAAAGACAAATAAAGTGGAATTCTACACATAGGGGAAGACTGTATTGCATTTGCTTTTCGACATGCTTTTATTCTCATCATGCTCCTTCCATTTTCAGTTGTCTGTCGCTACACAAAAAGCAGAATTTGTATCGATGCACAAAATATTTTAGTTTTTTTTTTTTAAATACAACGATGAAGTCTTGTTGTTATTTAAACTTTCAACGAAAGAATGGCAAAGGACTGTCGACCACAATGGATCGTTGATTCTCACATCAAAGATGTTGATTTACATGGTTATCAATCTATTGATCTTGCTCTTAATAAAGTAAGAGAGACTTTGTCGACAGCAAAAAAACATGAACTGAATTCATACAAATTTATTCCTGGTCGAGGAACACATTCAGAAGTCAATGAATTCGATCGAAAATACAAAGAGACAAAGAATTGGAAGCGTAAAGTCGACTCTCGATTGTTAGAAGCTGTTAGAGATTATCTTAAAACGGTAATAAATGATTTTCATGTGTATGAAATGTCCGCTCAAAATAAATCTACTGAGATCTATGTTCGTTTTAATGGCAAAAAATATGCGGAAAAGAACTGTTCAACATCATTCTATCTGTCCGACGATCTTTTACCACCACAATTCGAATCAGACAATGATGTTTAGAACTTCTGAGAACATGTAACCTTTTTTCTATCCCATAGCAGAAAACTGTGAATAACTTTTTCAGACTTTCGCGCAAGATTTTAGAGAAAAAAAGGCGCCGAAGTATTTAAACTGTAGAAGAGAGATGTTTATCAAGTCTATTTTTGAATCCAAGAGTAGAGCAAGTTTTACTGAGTTTAGAAATCATGTCAAATACAATCGATTATTATCTACGTAACAGGATAAAAATCAAATTCAATCATTTCTACGTGCGTAGAAAGTGGTATGGGTGTGGGTGGAGGTGTGGTGTATGGATGTGGGTGTGGGCTGGGGGTGTGAGGGTGGGTGTTGGTGTGGCTATGGGCATATTATTGATGATATATCAACTTCCATACCTGGGTGTGGGTGTGGCTATCGGTGTTTGCTATTGCTCTTTACCTACACCCACACCCACACCCACACCCCGAATCTTGTTAAAACAGCGCTTTGATAGTTCAGGCAAACGTTTTGCTGTATTTTTGTACGATTGTATAGCCTCAGATTGTTTTTTCTTCTAGTCAAACTACTTTTCGACTTGATTCATTTTTTTTTGCTTAGAAGTGAGAGGACTGGACTCATTTTTTCCAAGAAACAGCGAATGACAATGTTGAAAAGTCCGGTAAATCTACTCAGTAAAAAATACTGATCAGTAGGATCATTTTAGTTTTATCCAAACGACACTACTTTTGAACTAAAATCTACGAATTATGAGTCGAGAAATGCTCAAAATCATATCTGTGGAACAATACTCATCATACATCTTTCCCTGTTCTTTGTATTCCTCTGTGTTTTATTAATATTTGGAGCTCTTAAAATTGTTTATTGAATTAGTTACCTGCAACATAGCCTGATTGACTGCCTTACTAGTGCCAAAATAGATATTGGTTACCTTCGACAATAGATTTTTGCATTCTCATTGACAATATCAAGCGATCTGGGTAAAGCATAAATTTATGCGACAGAGTAAATTCCATAAATGATCACTTTAAAAATCCTTGTGCAACAGCTGTGAATAGAAGAAAAAGTACATCTATCGAGGAGAATCATTTTGTCAATTGTGGACTCATCTTTTCTATGTCCATCACTACTTGCTACGGGTCATTTTTAAATGACAACTTACTCAGATGAAGTTGAACGAAGCATTCTACTACATGCTGAATAGTTGCTGCTCGTGATTCATCTTCATTGTAATACTAATAATGATGTTTTTTTTTCTGTCAGATTCATTTGATATGCTCTTTAACAAATCTCG